TTCTTTTTTTCTTTAGTTTTCTATGATTCAATGTTTCCTGGAAAGAAACATATCGTTTTTTCATTGTTGAAATTTGTTCAAACTAAAAGTTGTTTTATTCTTCTACTCTACACATCTCAATTAAAGATAACGGTCAATAAAACAATGTGCTCACAAATATATTGTTCTCACTACTTCATTCAGTGGAAAAATAATCAGGTCTGCGATGAGAATTTCACGAAATGAATCGGAGAAAGGATTTTTTTCTGTTTAAGTCAATTTGATTTCCAAAAATAATCAAAAATTCTAATAATGAGTCAATTTTTCGAATTAAATCAAATAAAAAATTATTGAATAATAAAAAACTCTTCATTAATCTAATGAATACTTTCATAGTTTGTTTTTTTTTATTGAAAATGATATCGTAATATTTGCTTAAGCTCAATCATATTTTTTACTATAATTTCGTCTTCTCCACCAAATATAAATTCATCATAAATTGGTGATATCCATCTCATTATGAGAATTGGGAATTTTCTATTAAATTTACACAAATTCTTAGATTAGTATTTTTATCTATCAAATTAAACTAATTCGACTGAAATGTGTTTTTGGCGAAATCTTTTGTTTGATGATAATTTAAGAATTGAATTTTTTATGTAACAAATGATAATAATGTCCATGAAGCGCAAGTAATTCTTGATGTGTTCCACTCTCAACAATAGTTCCGTTATGAATAACACAGATAACATCTGCATTTTGTATAGTTGATAGACGATGGGAAATTGTTATCGATGTTCGATTTTGTTGAGCTCGAATTAACGCATCTTGAACAATTATTTCATTTTCAGTATCCAAAGCACTTGTAGCTAAAGAACATTTAGAAAACAAATGAAATCATTCGATGAAAATTAATCACCTTCATCTAACAAAAGAATTTTTGGCTTTCGAAGTAATGCACGAGCAATAGCTACACAAACAATTTTTATGAAAAAAAAAACAAATAGTTTTGCTTTTGAAAATTTATGACAAACCAATTCGTTGTTTTTGTCCGCCAGATAATTGAACACCTTTAACGCCACAATTTGTTTCATATCCCTGTTTCAAAAGCATAAACAATGAAATATAATATTGAAAATCATCGAACATGTTTACAAACATTCGGAAGACTTTGAATAAATTCATGAATATTTGCATTTTGTGCTGCTTGAATAATTTCTTCAATTGGAATATTATTTCGACTATTGTCACCGTAGGCAATATTTTCTTGTATTGACATATCGAAGAGAACTGGCTCTTGTGATACAATACCAACTAATCATGAAGAAACAAATCTTAGTAAAATGATAGTTGTAAACATGTTTCGTACTCTGTGATCGATACCATTGTAAATTAAGTTTTCGAATATCCATTGAATCAACCAACTAGAAATAGGACACATATCTCTCTTCTGAATTCGTCTTTTTTAACAAAAAAAAAGAATAAACAACATTTACCAGAGAGCCATTTGTAACATCGTAGAAACGTTCAATCAATAGAATACTTGTCGATTTTCCACATCCAGATGCACCTGCATTTCACATGAAAATTCATCATAATAGGAAGTTACGATAGTGCGAATATTTTACTGACCCACAAATGCTACTTGTTGACCTAGAAGAATATCATTAAAGTTCGTAATGCAATAGAAGGATATAAAAATACACACCAGCTTCTATTTTTTAGTTTGAAGTTGTTCAAAACGATTGTTTCAGATCGAGTTGGATATGCAAACTGGACATTGTCAAATTCGAGTTTTCCATTGAAATTAAGCTTATAAAACATTAAAAAAATAATCTCAAATCTACGACAATAACCTACAATTGTATCGCCGTCACTTGATCCGTTATTGATTGAAGGAGCTCGAGCAAATAATTCCATGATATTCTCAGCAGCAACTGTTGCTTTTCCGTAATCTGGAATTCTAAATGAAATGAATCTCATTTAATGTTAAATTCATTTTCAATATTTACAATGCAGCAGATAGAATCACATGTTCAGTACTGAATAAAATACAATTGTAAACTCTAGAGAATAGATATTTTGATTGTGAATAGAAATTCTATCTTCTTACAATAGAAGATCTTCCAATGAGATTGTACCATTGGAAACAAGTGTAGAACCAAATGAAAACATAGTCGCAGTAATAAAATAACCAATTGAATTATTCAATGAAAAGAAGATACCAAAAATATGCGCTCGTCTGATTGATGATCTATGAACACAACTAGAAATTATATAGATTGATTCATAGAAGAAAAATTATACCGGTAGGAAGTAGTAAAGCATTGAGAATATATATTGAAAAAGTGATCTTCTTTCGTCAACTGTACTACTATTCGAATATTTTGAATGACTTCTACAGCTACCTTCAAAACATAATTTAAATGATTATGTCATCAATAATATAAATAAAGAAACATCAAACCTTGCTGGCGTTTTCTAAAGCTTTTTTATCTTTAATCAAAGAATCAATCGTCAGACGGTTTTGAAGAAACTTTCCAGTCATCATGAATAAAACAAAAATGAGCATAACCAATGTCAATTGCCAAGAAAAGACCAAACCAATAACAGTAGCAGTACCAAAAGCGGCAATATTTTGAAAAATAAAACCCATACATGCACCAGTGGCACCTTGTATTGCTGATGCTTCAGTTGCTAAACGTGTACATAATGCTCCTGTACTATTTTTTGGATCATCAAAATATGCAATTTCTTGAGAAAGAATAGTACGAAATAGTTTTAAACGCGTTCGTTTTGTAAGTGCTTCACCGGAACAAGCAAAACAAAAATTCTAAACGATCAAAAGGGCTATTGATCATCGAAACAAATAAACACACTTGTAAAAACATGGCTGTAAAGTAAAGAACTCCAAAGGCAACATATAGAAGAACATAGAGAAGTACATTTTCTCTTTGTTTTTCTTCAGTACATTGTTGAAAAACCTTTAAAATAATTCGATTTTTGAATCAATTCGATTGAAAGATGCATACTCCAATGAACTTGCTTAAAAGAAAACCAATTCCTGGTACAATAGCACCAGTGCAAATACACGCTGCACATCCAATCATAATAAATATCCATTCTGGTGAATTCATTTTGAGCATAGCGAAAACAGCATTCGACTTTTTCTTCTTTAGGTCACTGTTTTCTTCTTCGAAACTTTCGTACAGTTCCTCATGGATATACTCAACATTTGTCGAATCTCGCTTTTGTTCACTAAAACGAACTGACTGTGTGGATTGTTCGTCAGTTATATGCAGTTTTTGTGCTTCAACCAGTTTATAATATGTGCCACCAATTCGCATTAACGAATCATGATTGCCTTGTTCAACAATTTCACCTTTGTGCATCACAACAATTTTATCAGCATTACGAATAGTTGAGAGTCGATGAGCGATGACAATTGTTGTTCTATCTGATAAGAAAAGATTTTGTATATCTTTGCAGTTCTATGTAAAATACTTTTAGCAGCATGATTTAATGCGTCTTGTACTATTCTTTCGCTTTCGTTATCAAGTGCACTAGTAGCTATAAATTCAATAAAAATCTTTATGAACTTTTAGATAAAAGATTTCATTACCCTCGTCAAGAAGTAATATTTTTGGATCGGAAATGAGTGCACGAGCAATAGCTAAATCAATAAACGATAATAAGGAGATAAACAACGTCTGAAAAAACAAACGATTTCTATTACCAATTCTTTGCTTTTGTCCACCTGACAGTGCAGTACCTCGTTGTCCTACCATAGTCTCATATTTCTATTAGATGAAACATCGAAAGACAAAGAAAAACCAACAGGATTGATATCTTACTTCAGGCAAATTCATGATAAAGTCATGTGCATTAGCTATTTTAGCAACTTCATGTACTTCTTCATCGTTAGCAGTTTGTTTTCCAAGTAAAATATTTTCACGAATAGTTGTTTGAAACAAAACTGGCTCTTGGTTAACTACACCTATTTGTTGTCGTAACCATTTTAAATTAAAGTCGTTCACTGGGATTCCATCGATAGTTATTGAACCCGAATTTAGATCATAGAATCGTTGTAATAATTGAATACACGTTGATTTACCTGATCCTGAAGACCCAATTAATGCAATTGTCTGGCCATGTTTTATATCAAACGATAGATTATGGAGTACTTTAATATCTGGTCGTGATGGATAACAAAAATGAACATTGGAGAAATGAATTTCACCAACGAGATTATCTTTTTTTAGTGCTATTTCTGAACTATTGTGTGTGATGGAAGACTGATAAATGATAAAAGTGGAGAAAATGATAAGAAATATCATTTGTTGTCCTTACAGAATCAATCATTTTCCATATGGTACCTACAGCAACTTTTGCCTGGCTGAATGCTTGGAAATGTGGACCAATTTCACCCAAATTGAAAATGGCAATGAGAACTGCAAGGAAGACCTAAGAAAATGGTAATCAGTTTTTAAAACATCTATACTAAATTATTATTCTCATAGAAATAACTAACGATATAGACATCGCCAATATTATAGTTTTCTTCAAGAATTAATTTCGTTCCATACCAAAATGCTATGAAACACAGAAAACACATATTGCTATTAAAGCAAATCATTCGGAAAACGAAATATACTTACTCAATGCGTAGCAACAATAGACAATAAACCATATCATACCGATCATAATACCATTGATAATGCTTTTTTGAATGTTTCTCGTCTTAGCACAATCTAAGAATTTTTCATACCTAAAACAAGATGAATGTTATTCAGTCTTCATTATAGATAATCAAACCGTTGTTGTTCTTTCTCTTGTCCGTTGTAACATAAAACAGTACGAATCGAACTAAACACTTCTTCGGCCACTGCATTCGCTTTTCCATTTTCTTCCAGTTCCATTTTTGTAAGACGCATTCCAAGCTTCAAATACAAAGAGAGAATATGTGTGTGTGTCGTGAATGTCCGAACAGCTCTACTCTTCCTGATATTGTTGAGCTGCATTCAAAAGATTTACTTTGGAAAAAAGTGGTGTTGAGATAAGAATCATTGATGATGTTGATAATACAACCAGCGTTAATTTCCACCCTTTTGCAAAACCTACATCATTAATATATTAGAAGTTTTTCTGTGTTTTAAATCAACACTTACCGACAGCAAATCCAACAATGACCGAAGCAAAAAGTTGTATTCCCGAACCAAGTTTGTCCCCAATACCATTATGAATTGTATCGATATCATCTGTCAAATGTGTATTAAGTTCGCCCGTCTTATGTTTATCGAAAAAGACAACTTCTTCTCTGAGAATCGATCGAAATAGGGTTCGTCGAATGATTTGTGTTTGTCGTTCAGCTAATATTCTCCATAACGTAGCTTGAATATAACTTAAGACAATTGAGGAGAATCCAATAGCTACCAGAGATAATGTTTCTCGTTGGGTCTCGCTTTTAAAGTCAGAATTGAAGTTCGTCAAATTCAATGCAGTCAAATTACATACCCTAAAAAATAGTTATTTTTTCTAAAATAAAAATTTCGTTTTTGTCCTTACGAAAATGTTTGATAAAAATTGATTGATGTCAATTCAACACCTAACGGACAGTAATCTTTGGAAAGCATTGTAAAATTAAGTGAGCACAGTTGGATCGTTCGGTTAGTGAACGTATTGAGAAGATTTCCACTGATCAGAAGGAGCATCGGCATAGCAATGCCATTGCCAAGAGCAGCGATTGTAGCAAATAGTATATATAATACATCGATCAGTGTCGCATACCGAAACTTAAAAATGCACATAGACATTCTTTATTAAAATAAATCATATATAAAAGTATCTCACCAAATTCAATATGCTCACTGCTTCGGTCGATTTCTTCTCGTTCTGTTTGTTATGTAGCCGCTGTAATAGATTTTGATGTTTATTGATATTTGTATTTCTGTTGTCCGTAGAAATAGTGTGGTCTTCCATCGAATACTTTCTGTATAACAAATGGATGTCACTTGTTATCGTTCTTCCTTCAAAATTTAAGTGTAAACATACAAATCATTCGATTCATTGTCGATCATTGAATATTGCTTATTTTGTTAATATATGCAATCTGCTGATGTTTATGCGTCGTCATTATATTCGCACATCAATTAGGCAATCTCATATTTTTATCTTTCTCATCTAATTACTAATTAGTTTTCGTTTGTCAACTCATTTACAGTCGTCCACACTGCCCTTTTTCGGTAGTCCTACTTTAAACTTGTGGAATATATCATATTACACATTCAGTTTGTATTTTTGTTTGACTTTCGTCGTCCAGTCTATAGCGATCAGCTTTGAATTAAGAACTGGCCTTCTTTATTCATTTCGAAATGATTTTTATACTAAACTGTTTAAAATGGTTGTGGAACAAGTTATACAACATTATCTGCGATACACAAAATCAATTCGTACGAGAAATAAATGAAGAGAAGATAAATCATGAATTGTAGGTATCGTCACTTTGATCAACAGCGCGCGATAGATCGTAGAAACTTCCGAGGAATTATATATTCTTTTCTTTCAGATAAATTTTTGAAAATTCTACTCTTAGTTCCTTTCTATTTCTTTACATATGAAGAAAAAATAAAGTGAGACTTATTCTCTAAAAGATCAGCCATAGTTTCCACTTTTTGAGTTTAGAGCCGCTGATTGTATTTAATGTATCAATTATATCTAATTACCCCCCATTATATTCAACATTCACATTGTGTTGAATATATTTATTATTATTCTTTACTTTCCAATTAGCCGCTAAAAACACATGCGATCGTGTCATAATGAGAGTCATACCGAGTTCATTGTGGCCCCGGTCGGTTAAGTTCGTTTTCTGACGACTGCTTTGTCGTCAGATTCCGGCCGGAATGATCGACCTGGGTAGTCATATCAATAAGGTAATATAGATATAAATTATTATTCATTGAACTAAGAAAACAGATTAGAATTTTCCACTGTTAATAAAAAAATATTGAGAAGTGCAATATTACTACAAATTTCATCAGTCTAAACCGTAAAGATGTTGGCGAGGCTGTTGATATGATCATCAATATGAATCTTCTTTTCTTCTTTATAAAACTAATTATAGACATTCGATAATTCCCGATCGTTTCAACGATGATGATATCGGTTGTGTAAAGTCGAATTTACCACTGAAGAAACTTGGATCGTGTGCATTAGAGCATATTTTTCAAGGAGAAATTAAAAAAGAAGAAAATTGTGATAATTTCGTCGCTCAAGGTTTACATTCATTGTGTGATCTTCCCGATAACGTACAGATCATCAAGAGACTTGGGAAGGAAGACAAACATGGAGTTTATAGGCTAAAGTTCGCCATAAAAGATGTCAAAACAGGCAAAGTTTATCCGAAACGATCAACAATGTTTCCAAAAACATGGTCAAAAGAGAAAATCATACATGAAATCGAGTCGATTTTGCTGAAAATTGAAAACGTATCCAATATTGGTATTGATTGTGTTTCGGCTGTATCACCTAGTGGAGTACTGGTCAAGATTATTTTTGAGAATGGAATACCTATGGTGGTTTACCCAATGATGCAGAGAACAAATACTTTCAATTCTAATTACCAGAATTATATATAACGAAGAAAACCTTTGAATATGCTGTGAGCATTTACTGACGTCAATAGTTTCTATGAAAAACTCATTTTAAATCGTACCGTATTAAGCAAATAAAATGTGATGATTCCTGTTGCGGATTGTAGTGTTGTTCTTTTTAAACTGTAAAATAAATTTCATTTCATTCTAATTCGTTATTATACTTGAAAGAAACCAGTTCAGTTGCCTGTTGATACAGAGTTATTACATCTATTCAGTATGATTTCGTGTTTATACTTTTAAAGAAAACTAAGATGCGAAAACGAGCAACGATGATTTAGCTTCAAAGTTCTTTGACACGATAACGATGCGGAGCGATTTGAATGAGATCATCAGATATATTGGCTATTTTCAGACTGGATAACGTATTGATGGTCGGTTGAGAAATTGGAAAACCCCAAAATTTGAATAAAGGTACAAGATTTTGTTGAACTTGCCGAGAAAAGGTCTCAATCCAATAGTCAATCTTTTCTTGATTACTCGATAGATTTGGTTTTATTCTTTCATAGTGAAGAAAGACGAATTTATAACTNAAGTTACGATAGTACGAAAAGTCTACTGACCTACAAATGCTACTTGTTGACCTAGAAGAACATCATTAAAATTCGTAGTAAACAAAAAAGGATATAAAAATACACACCAGCCTTTATTTTGAGTTTGAAGTTGTTCAAAACGATTGTTTCAGATCGAGTTGGATATGCAAACTGGACATTGTCAAATTCGAGTTGTCCATTGAAATTAAGCTTATAAAACATAACATAAATAATCTGAAATTTACAACAATAACCTACAATTGTATCGCCGTCACTCGATCCGTTATTGATTGAAGGAGTTCGAGCAAATAATTTCATGATCTTTTCAGCAGCAATTCTTGCTTTTCCATAATCTGGAATTCTAAATGAAATAAATCTCTCATTTAATGTTAAATTCATTTTTAATATTTACAATGCAGCAGATAGAATCACATGTTCAGTACTAAATAAAATACAATTGTAAACTCTAGAAAATAGATACTTTGTTTGTAAATAGAAATTCTATCTTCTTACAATAGAAGATCTTCCAATGAGATTGTGCCATTGGAAACAAGTGTAGAACCAAATGAAAACATAGTCGCAGTAATGAAATAACCAATTGAATTATTCAATGAAAAGAAGATACCAAAAATATGCGCTCGTGTGATTGATGATCTATGAACACAACTAGAAATTATATAGATTGATTTATAGAAGAAAAATTATACCGGTAGGGAGTAGTAAAACATTGAGAATATATATTGAAAAAGTGATCTTCCTTGGTTAATTGTACTACTGTTCGAATATTTTGAATGACTTCTACAGCTATCTTCAAAACATAATTTAAATGATTCGTCTCATCAATAATATAAATCAAAAAATATCAAACCTTGCTCGCGTTTTCTAAAGCTTTTTTATCTTTAATCAAAGAACCAATCGTCAAACGGTTTTGAAGATACTTTCCGGTCATCATGAATAAAACAAAAATGAACATAACTAATGTCAATTGCCAAGAAAAAACAAAACCAATAATAATAGCAGTACCAAAAGCGGCAATATTTTGAAAAATAAAGCCCATACATGCACCAGTGGCACCTTGTATTGCTGATGCTTCAGTTGCTAAACGTGTACATAGTGCTCCTGTACTATTTTTTTGGATCATCAAAATATGCAATTTCTTGAGAAAGAATAGTACGAAATAATTTTGAACGCGTTCGTTTTTTGTAANAACGTGTACATAATGCTCCTGTACTATTTTTTGGATCATCAAAATATGCAATTTCTTGAGAAAGAATAGTACGAAATAGTTTTAAACGCGTTCGTTTTGTAAGTGCTTCACCGGAACAAGCAAAACAAAAATTCTAAATGATCAAAAGAGCTATTGCTCATCGAAACAAATAAACACACTTGTAAAAACATTGCTGTAAAGTAAAGAACTCCAAAGGCAACATATAGAAGAACATAAAGAAGTACATTTTCTCTTTGTTTTTCTTCAGTACATTGTTGAAAAACCTTAAAAATAATTCGAGTTTTGAATCAATTCGATTGAAAGATGCATACTCCAATGAACTTGCTTAAAAGAAAACCAATTCCTGGTACAATAGCACCAGTGCAAATACATGCTGCACATCCAATCATAATAAATAGCCATTCTGGTGCATTCATTTTTAGCATAGTTAAAACAGCATTCGACTTTTTCTTCTTTATGTTACTGTTTTCTTCTTCGAAGCTTTCGTACAGTTCCTCATGAATATATTTAACATTTGTCGAATCTCGCTTTTGTTCACTAAAACGAACTGATTGTGTAAATTGTTCTTCAGTCATATGCACTTTTTGTGCTTCAACTAGTTTATAATATGTGCCACCAATTTGCATTAATGAATCATGATTGCCTTGTTCAACAATTTCACCTTTGTGCATCACAATAATTTTATCAGCATTACGAATGGTTGAGAGTCGATGAGCGATGACAATTGTTGTTCTATCTGATAAAAAAAGATTTTGTATATCTTTGCAGTTCTATGTAAAATACTTTTAGCAGCACGATTTAATGCGTCTTGTATTATTCTTTCGCTTTCGTTATCAAGTGCACTAGTAGCTGTAAATTGAATAAAAATCTCTATGAACTTTTAGATAAAAGATTTAATTACCCTCGTCAAGAAGCAATATTTTTGGATCGGAAATGAGTGCACGAGCAATAGCTAAATCAATAAACGATAATAAAGAAATAAACAACGTCTGAAAAAACGATTTCTTACCAATTCTTTGCTTTTGTCCACCTGACAGTGTAGTACCTCGTTGTCCTACCATAGTTTCATATTTCTATGATATGAAACATCGAAAGATAAAGAAAACCCAACAAGATTGATATTTTACTTTAGGTAAATTCATGATAAAGTCATGTGCGTTAGCTAATTTAGCAACTTCGTGTACTTCTTCATCATTAGCAGTTTGTTTTCCAAGTAAAATATTTTCACGAATAGTTGTTTGAAACAAAACAGGCTCTTGACTAACTACACCAATTTGTTGTCGTAACCATTTTAAATTAAAATTTTTCACTGGAATTCCATCGATAGTTATTGAACCCGAATTTAGATCATAGAATCGTTGTAATAATTGAATACACGTTGATTTACCTAATCCCGAAGAACCAATTAATGCAATTGTCTGCCCATGTTTTATATCAAACGATAGATTATGGAGTACTTTTATATCTGGTCGTGATGGATAACAAAAATGAACATTGGAGAAATGAATATCACCAACAAGATTATCTTTTTTTAGTGCTATTTCTGAGCTATTGCATGTAATGAAAGACTGATAAATGATAAACGTGAAGAAAATGATAAGAAATATCATTTATTGTCCTTACAGAATCAATCATTTTCCATATGGTACCAGCAGCAACTTTTGCCTGGCTGAATGCTTGAAAATGTGGACCAATTTCACCCAAATTGAAAATGGTAATGAGAACTGCAAGAAAAACCTAAGAAAATGATAATCAATTTTTTAAAACATCTATACTAAATTATCGATTCTTATAGAAATAACTAACGATATAAACATTGCCAATATTATAGTTTTCTTCAAGAATTAATTTTGTTCCATACCAAAATGCTACGACACACAGAAAACACAGATTGCTACTGAGCAAATCATTCGGAAAACAAAATAGACTTACTCAATGCGTAACAACAATAGACAATAAACCATATCATACCAACCATAATACCATTGATAATACCTTTTTGAATGTTTCTCGTCTTGGCACAATCTAAGAATTTTTCATACCTAAAACAAGATGAATGTTATTCAGATTTCATTATAGATAATCAAACCGCTGTTGTTCTTTCTCCTGTCCGTTGTAATATAAAACAGTACGAATCGAACTAAACACTTCTTCGGCCACTGCATTCGCTTTTCCATTTTCTTCCTGTTCCATTTTTGTAAGACGCATTCCAAGCTTCAAATATAAAGAGAGAATATGTGTGTGTGTGTGTGTCGTGAATGTCTGAACAGCTCCGCTTTTCTGATATTGTTGAGCTGCATTCAAAAGATTTACTTTGGAAAAAAGTGGTGTTGAGATAAGAATCATTGATGACGTTGATAATACGATCAACGTTAATTTCCACCCTTTTACAAAACCTACATGATTAATATATTAGAGGTTTTTCTGTGTTTTAAATCAACACTTACCGACAGCAAATCCAGCAATGACCGAAGCAAAAAGCTGTATTCCCGAACCAAGTTTGTCGCCAATACCATTATGAATTGTATCGATATCATCTGTCAAATGTGTATTAAGTTCACCCGTCTTATGTTTATCGAAAAAGACAACTTCTTCCTTGAGAATCGATCGAAATAGGGTTCGTCGAATGATTTGCGTTTGTCGTTCGGCTAACATTCTCCAAAACGTAGCTTGAATATAACTTAAGACAATTGAGGAGAATCCAATAATTACCAAAGATAATGTTTCTTTTTGGGTCTCGCTTTTAAAGTCAGAATTGGAGTTCGTCAAATTCAACGCAGTCAAATTACATACTCTAAAATATAGTTATTTTTTCTGAAATAAAAATTTCCTTTTTGTCCTTACGAAAATGTTTGATAAAAATTGATTGATGTCAATTCAACACCTAACGGACAGTAATCTTTGGAGAGCATTGTAAAATTAAGTGAGCACAGTTGGATCGTTCGGTTAGTGAACGTATTGAGAAGATTTCCACTGATCAGAAGGAGCATCGGCATAGCAATTCCATTGCCAAGAGCAGCGATTGTAGCAAATAGTATATATAATACATCAATCAATGTCACATATCGAAACTGAAAAATGCACATAGACATTCTTTATTAAAATATTTCATATATAAAAGCATCTCACCAAATTCAATATGCTCACTGCTTCAGTCGATTTCTTCTCGTTCTGTTTGTTATGAAGCCGCTGTAATAGATTTTGATGTTTATTGATATTAGTATTTCTGTCGTTCGTAGAAATAGTATGATCTTCCATTGAATATTTTCTGTATAACAAACGGATGTCACTTGTTATCGTTCTTCCTTCAAAATTTGAGTGCAAAATATGCAAATCATTCGATTCATTATCGATCATTGAATATTGCTTATTTTGTTAATATATGCAACCCACTGATGTTTATGTGTCGTCATTATACTCGCACATCAATTAGGCAATCTCATATTTTTGTCCTTCTTATAGAATTACTAATTAGTTTTCGTTTGTCAACTCATTTACAGTCATCCACACTGTCCTTTTTCGGTAGTCTTACTTTAAACTTGTGGAATATGTCATATTACACATTCAGTTTGTATTTTTGTTTGACTTTCGTCGTCCAGTTTATAGCGATCAGCTTTGAATTAAGAAATGCTCTTCTTTAGTCATTTCGAAATGATTTTTATACTAAACTGTTTAAAATGGTTGTGGAACAAGTTATACAACATTATATATGATACACAAAATCAATTCGTACGAGAAATAAATGAAGAGAAGATAAATCATGAATTGTAGGTATTGTCACTTTGATCAACAGCTCGCGATACATCGTAGAAACTTCTAAGAAATTGTATATTCTTTTCTTTCAGATAAATTTTCAAAAGTTCTACCCTCAGATCCTTTCTATTTCTTTATATATGAAGAAAAATAAAGTGATACTTATTCTCTAAAAGATCGGTCATAGTTCCCACTTTTTCACTCTAGAGCTACTGATTGTATTTAATGTATCAATCATGTCTAATTACCCCCCATTATATTCAACATTCACATTATGTTGAATATATTTATTATTCTTCTTTGCTCTCCAATAAGTGGTTAAAAACAAATGTGATCGTGTTAATGAGAGTCATACCGAGGTCATTGTGGTCTGGTTGGTTAAATTCGTTTTCCGACGACTGCTTCGTCGTCATGTTCCGGCCGGAATGATCGATCTGGGTAGTCACATCAATAAGGTAATATAGATACAAATTATTATTCATTGAACTGAGAAAACAGATTAGAATTTTCTATTGTTAATAAAAAATATTGAGAAGTGTAATATTACTACAAATTTCACCAGTCTAAACCGTAAAGATGTTGGCGAAGCTGTTGATATGATCATCAATATAAATCTTCTTTTCTTGTTTATAAAACTAATTATAGACATCCAATAATTCCCGATCATTTCAATGATGATGATATTGGTTGTGTAAAGTCAAATTTACCATCGAAGAAACTTGGATCTTATGCATTAGAGCATATTTTTCAAGGAGAAATTAAAAAAGAAGAAAATTGTGATAATTTCGTCGTTCAAGGTTTACATTCATTGTGTGATCTTCCCGATAACGTACAGATCATCAAGAGGCTTGGGAAGGAAGATAAACATGGAGTTTATAGGCTAAAGTTCGCCATGAAAGATGTCAAAACAGGCAAAGTTTATTCGAAACGATCAACAATGTTTCCAAAAACATGGTCAAAACAGAAAATCATACAGGAAATCGAGTCGATTTTGCTGAAAATTGAAAACGTATCCAATATTGGTATTGATTGTGTTTCGGCTGCATCATCTAGTGGAGTGCTGATCAAGATTATTTTTGAGAATGGAATACCTGTGGTGGTATACCCAGTGATGCAGAAAACAAATACTTTCAATTCTAATTACCAGAATTATATATAACGAAGAAAACCTTTGAAAATGCTGTGAGCATTTACTGATGTCAATAGTTTCTATGAAAAACTAATTTTAAATCGTACTCTATTGAGCAAATAAAATGTGATGATTTCTGTTGGATTGTAGTGTTCTTTTTAAACTGTAAAATAAATTTCATTTCATAAACTTGAAAGAAACCAGTTCAGTTACCTGTTTGTACATAGTTATTACAGGTATTCAATATGATTTCGTGTTTATACTTTTATAGAAAACTAAGATGCGAAAACGAGCAACAATAATTTAGCTTCAAAGTTCTTTGACACGATAACGATGTGGAGCGATTTGAATGAGATCATCAGATATATTGGCTATTTTCAGACTGGATAACGTATTGATGGTCGGTTGAGAAATTGGAAAACCCCAAAATTTGAATAAAGGTACAAGATTTTGTTGAACTTGCCGAGAAAAGGTCTCAATCCAATAGTCAATCTTTTCCTGATTATTCGATAGACTTGGTTTTATTCTTTCATAATGAAGAAAGACAGATTTGTAACTCTTCCAATCAAATTCACGCGCCAGTTGAGCATAAATATGAAGAGCAAGAGACGAATCTTCTTTCCACATTGTAAAATTTGCTCCGTTTTCAATGTATTGACGTGTATTTGATATAGCCTCTCTGTTCCACGTATGGATTCCTGGACGAATGTGACATATAGTATCTAAGACATATAAAGTGAAGATGTTTGAAGTCACTTCTGTAGTACCATCAAATGCTATAGAAAATAAAGAATTAAGAAAAGGATATAAAATTGAATGACTTACTCCACCAATCTCGTTGCAAATTATGCCCGATTTCATGAAAAATACCCCACGATCCATTCTTTTTGAGAAAGTTCGTATTAAAAACAAACTGGTCAGATTTAGGATCAGCTATATTCATTTGAGTTACTATCGGATAACCTGAATCTAAAGAAAAGCTTTTTAAATAGTTTTCATTGAACCTACTTACGCATGTAACCAACTGAAGGTTGTATATCGGCAACGATTCGTTCTCGATGGGTTGGCTTAGTTCCACGAAGATTGTGACTGGCCAATATTACTGAGTCCCAAAATTGAAGTGCAGCATCCAATTGAGTCTTTGTCAAATTCAATACACTTCGAGACGGTAAATTAAAGACTATATGACGACCAGCAATATCAGTCCAAGTTCCTTGAGCATGACGTTGTCGATGACGCCAATTGACTGCTCTTTGTGCATTAGTTAGATCATACGTTGGTGATAGAATAATATTATGTAAAGAAACAGTGATTGAACATCCAGAAGCATCTGGACTTTCAAGAAATAGAAGACCACCGTACTGTGAACTCATTTGGATACGTTTGAAACTCAATGATTTGCTCAGAGAAATCAGAGGTGGTCGCCGTTGTGTCTCATGATCCTGAAACGATCAAGGAAAAAAAAAACAGAATAGAAAGTCTATGTCAAGTAGCAAACTTACAACTAAGTTGTCAGTGTGACAACCGATGCGAACTGACCATCCAGAGCCACCCGCCTGATCCAATACATCGATTTTGATGGGCGTATTGGGAGCTACATAGTATCCTAAAAGAGATTGGTATTTAGAAAGAGTACACGTAGTGAGAAGGAACGTACCAGTGGAGTGCCATTCACTTGTATTCGATTCAACGCGATAAGTAACGTTTGTTTCCATGTGCAGTGGTTGTTGAAAAACACCAAGAAGATTACTGACATCTAAGTGTAAAATATAAATCTAATTTAAAGACATGATGAAATGTTCCTACCTAAATGGGATCCAGCAATACCATCAGAATATGAATTTCCACCACCACCGATACTTGATTTCAGAAAACACTTGTGATCTAATCGATTCCAAGTGAAAGCATTACATCTGCCGTCGCTACAACATTTAGCATAACACTCTGCAAAAGTTGTGTTTGCTATTGGCTCATCAATATCATTTCCCCAATAGTCCCAATTTTCTTTTACGTTGAAATCAGAACACTTATCTGAATCGATCTACGAATATTTGCAAGTAAAATTCATGTATATTACCTTTGGATAGTACAAGCGGAACTAGTCGCCAACTCTGAGCTGTTGAATTATTTTCCGACCAAATTTGAACATTTGTTTCATCATTTCTGACATCTAGTACTTTGCCAGAGGATGCATGAATCAACTTATATATTCCATCTCCAAGTGATTGTAGACGCCATTTTTGTGCATTTGTTTCATTGTCTATCCAGATTTGAACATTGGTACCATCTGAAGTGTGACCTCCAGACACATCTAACACTTTTCTACTGAATGGATTAATTAACTTGATAGTACCATCATCATTCGCATTGATCAACCAGATTTGATTTTTACCTTTGTGATTTTTTAAGATCTGAACATTGGCACCTCTACTCGTACCTGCACCATGAATATTCAAACACTTGTCAGAGGCGATATGAATCAATTGATAAATACCACCAAAAACAAGCTCATCGTCACCTAAATAATATTAAAGAGATAGTTGTGGCTGAAGGAAAAGACAAATACTAGTTTTTTTCAAGAACAGATTTATTATACCTTTAGAATTAATATTGAATTTTTGTACTCGATGATTTCCCAACTCAGCGACGTACAGATTGCCCTGCCGGTCGAATGACAAACCAATAGGTGTACGAAGTTGGTTTATTCTATTTTCTTGATTATTTTCGTCACTAATGACACTTCCCTTTGTGGCTCCCTTCATCCAACGTACAATTCGATTATTTCTCATATCAGCTACATAAACACTGCCCAATTGATCAACAACAATTCCTTCGGGATTACTCAATTGTGTAAGTTCATTTCCTTTTCCCAAACCACCAGCCACAACAATGCCTTGTTTTGCATCTTTCACCCATTTCATCACACGATTATTGTCCGCATCAGACACGTAAACAGAATAATCGCGATCGACGAATATGTATGTTGGAGAAGAGAGTTGATCAAGACTATTTCCTTTTCCATTTCCACCTGCAACTACTATTCCTTGAAATTCTCCTTTTCCATATCGTCGAACTTCATTGTTTACATCATCAGAAATATAGAGAGAACCACTATCATCCATTGTTAAACTCCAACAATGGACATTCGAGATGATTACTTTTCCATTTGTTCCGTTGTGACGAGGCCATTGAACAACCCTTTTATTACTTCTATCACAAATGAAGAGACTATCTTTCTCTTTGTCAATAATTACATCTCTTGGACTAGACAGTTGATCGAGTCTACTTCCAGCTCCATTTCCACCGGCAACTACTTGCCCACTGGTCGCACCAGATTTCCATTTCATAATACGATTGTTCGACCATTCAGCGACATATATGGTTTCATCATCATCAACATATAGACCTAATGGTTGATTGAGTTGATGATTTTCTTTGCCTGCTCCATTTCCACCAGCCACAATTATACCATTGTGTTGCCATGTAGTATTTGGATGAATAGCAATCAAATTTGCACGCAATGGAGTATCTGAAATAGAATAGATCAAATGAAGAATATTTCTTTAACATTTACTTTTATTTTTTTTGTTATTAATCGCAACGTTTCCTTCCAACGCAGTAATTCGATTCTTCAAATTCTTCAATTCTTGTTCATATTGAGATAATCTATCTGTAAGATTTTCCACAATCGTTATGAGATGTTTCACTTTATCGTTTAGTGCTGTACAATCTTCATGGCTTTTATCAGCCACGGTGTCAGCGAATATGGAAATTAATCCTCCAAACAAGATCACAATCAATAAACCAAGGTGCACTGAATTCGAATACATTTAGTCTAAAAAGAGTTTTCTTTATAATCAATAACAAGGATCATTATACTGTCAAAGTGAGTCGTAAAATACGAATCTTCCTGTTAGTGTTGTATTTTATTTGGTAGCATCACAGGGTTTCATATAAGGTAAAATAATCCAGTTCTATCTCGCGTAGAGCCTTGATAGATGATGATAAGAACTTTACTTGACTTATCTTTCAAATGAAATTTGATGCAGTAACAGTGAAAGTATTCGATCAAATACCAGAGAGTGTGAGGGTGAGGATGACATTACTTAGATTTTATCTAATAATAAAATAGATTGAATGTTTGGAGAATATGTTCGGCTACATTTCGGAAGTTAAATAGCGTTCTCTCTGGACAGGTGTTCAAGATAATGTTTTGTTCTCACCTACCACATTGACTCAAATCGTGCCTTCTCCTGATTCCAGCTCTCGCGGAAGTATCCAAAAATTTTCATTTATAGGCTGCAAGATTTACCTATTTGGCTAAGAGATTTGGATAGCAATCTATAGTTGAAATTTCAGCGAGTTCAAGACTTGAAGACTATACATGACAATAAAACAACATAGCTAGTCGTTTTTCTTCAGACTCATCTTTAAGCGCGTGAGCCAAGAAACTATGATCAGTTAGGAGTTTTACTTGATCAAATGAGTTGCTAATCTATATCGATATTTCTGAAGATGAGCATTATCAGATGATGCTTTTCTCAGCCGCTGTCTGGTCTTACTTCATTAGATTTTAATACACTTTGGCATTATCTTTACTGTGCTTTTTGTGTACCCAAAAAGTGAGTATGCTACTAAGATCGGTCAGCGTGTCCGGCCGTTTGTTTACACGATAACTTTCGATAGAAGAATTAGATTGCGCTGAAATTATCTACACAGCATCATCTCAGTCGAGTTCGAAGATGAGCCTGATTGGTTGTCACGCCTCAACCATTTCCCTCCCAGAATCACATTAACACAAAGGCAGCTAAAAAATTTCATTTATTTGTTTCGAAGGCTTGTACGAACGAACATGAGTATGAGTGATATCTTATTTAGAAGCATCAAGCTTTACCAAAAGTACTTATTTCTTGCTTTTTCCTTACGACAAATGATCTAAAGATACTTCGAAGCGATGAAGAGTTGAAAAACATTTCAAAGAAGTTTTATGCATAAAATTCCGCTTGATCCTGGCCCTTATTGAACCCAGGTTTAGTATGCTTCTGAAATCTGTAGATAGTCGCATCTTATTTCACACTATTCATCGTTTTTTTAAAAAAACGGAGACGTGTTTAAAGGTGAAAGGTTATCCGCTCTTAGGGAGTTACGATTTCATTTTCGCGATGATCTTTATTTCGAAATGCACGCTAAATAAAGAGAAAGATAACAATTCTGAAATCAGTTCATAAAGTTTTCGACAAATGAGAATAGTTCTTGAGAAGTCAAACCTAATTAGATATTTCTGCTATTTTTCGCTATGGTGTATGAATGAAAGTATTGTATGTTGAGCTACTATTTCAGTGGAGCGGGTAATGCGAGTCACTCTCGACCAGCGTTATTTATTGCTGTTAGTGTAGTCAAATTTGACTGAACCAATACGGTATCAGCGTACAGTACCACATGCACCGGTCTTGAGTTCATATAATTTTTCAGATAAGTGAGGCTTGATATACCAGCTATCGACAAAAAGTGAATCTCCTTTATTCAAATAGGGTTTCATCAAACTCGATCATCACCATGGAACCAGATTTCCCAAAGTTTGATCTAGATCAATATCTGTAGACAAACCAGTGTGTACTGTTTGAATTCGGATCGTCCCTTCCAAAGAATGAGTGATTCATCGACACATAAGCTTTGTTCGGAATAACAAGCGATTTAAATTTTGTCCGCAAATCATCGATGACTGGTTTGATTTTATGTAATTCGTGATCGTTGAAATTTAAGTGTTTCGAAAGCGTCAGAAATCTGTCTCCAGCAAATAATTGACCAAACATAGATCTAATAATCAATGAATCAGTTGGCCAGTAATCAAGAATCTTATTCTTTTTATTTACAGACATAAGCATAATTATTCCAGTTTATCATTTAGATAACTAACTATTTTTGCGTTTCGTGTTCGAAATCATGGATAGAACTTTTTCCTATTGACTACGATTGTTACTTATCTCTATCTTAAAGAATTAGTTAGCAGAGATGGCTATCCTATGAAATAGCTGAATTTTTTAGAAGAAACAACCTCCTAGAATTCTCAAAGATGGACTTTGACTTAGATTGAGTTCTTTGAGAAGCAAATTATCGAGCTAAATCTCTTTCGGTCATCGAGTATTCTCTTCGGTCTTATTCGATGATGAGATAAACAAGAAAAAAAGCAGTGACTTGAGTCATGTTCAATGAGATGCTCTCGGTGATGCTTGGTCAGCTAGCATCTGATGAATACTAACTCCAATTGATTGAGTCGCTCATAAAGTCGACCATTTTCCTTCACCAGCTGATGGATGACTTCGGAGAAGTCTGAAACAAACACAAGAAAAGATTCTTATGCTACTCAATCATGAAATACACAGAAACGTCTTGTAAATGAAACCCGTCAGTCAACTAAATAAAGAAAGAAAGTATTCTGCGTCGAACTTACAAACTGCGTCCACTTTTCTCAACTTTGAGCTACTTGTAAAAACTAGGCGATTCGAACTCGTATGTCAATTCTATCAGTTTGTTCTTACCATCTTTCGGCGATTATCTCTTTCATTGCACATGCGTTTGTCTTAACAATTATTTCAGTGTTCGAAAGAATGGTTTTTTGTTCGTTAATGGTAGACTGCTCGAATGAATGATGGGAAGAGGTCAACTATTGAGTTCGACATCGTCGCAAGAACATATATATATACGATTGTCTAACACTGGATGTAGAAAGAGAAAGAAGAAAGAACAGTTCTGTTTCAAACTCATGGAAGTAAGCATTTCTCTCGAATTCTCTCTGGAACACAATGTCATTAAGTAAAATAGAGGAAAATGTCAACACTCATAAAAAAGCTGATGATGGTATTCGGTGGGTGTGTATTGTCTCGGTCTCTTCATATTTTCTCTTTCATAACGCGTGTTTTGTAAATCAAAATCAACTGTCTGAGTTTCATTCGCATAAACAGTTTTTTGAATCAGCGTATCTGAAATAAGCGAAAGAAGGCGTTATTATTCTTTGGATAGATCGAATTGATTACTCACCAATGGCAATAGCATTTTTTAGAATTTTCTAATTCTAATTGTGTCGTGACCGTTTACAGCTGCTAAACCAATGCGTAATTAGTATCTCAGTGTCAAAGCAGTTGTAAAATCGTATCGAAAATCGAAAAAGAAACTGTCGAATTACAGTTTGCACGCTTCACTATTCTTTACTTACCACAAGATTTAATTCCTCGTCGGAGTGATTTCGACGTAACCTTGGTCATGGTCGCATGGTGGAGACTACCATTACACGAGCAACATCACGACAACCAGTAAAAGACGAATACGAACCAGACGGGCTATCATGGTCCCCAACAACACTACGAGAAAACGAATCACCCATACTAGTGAACCAATCAGATTTGCTGGTAATCTAAGAGTTGCGCAACAAAATGTTTGATGAAAGAAAATAATAAAATCTTTTCAAGACCTTCGTTGGCGGAGGAGAAAAATGATCGACGGCTGTTCGACAACCTGGACGAATATAACGAAAGTCGAGGTTTAGGAGTTGGTGACGTTGTGTAATGTTGTTTGATCATATAGGCCATTATATCTGAAACAAAAGAATCTTGAATGATCGTTCAAAACCTGAATTTATGGAAAAGATTGTTAACGGCCACTAAGCTTCGAAAGACCAGTAGAAGGATAAATCAGACGAAAAAGAGTAAGCAAGCGAAGATAAAATACATACCCAGAAAGAAAAGATAAATAATCATATAACACAGTAATTCATTTACTCCTTGAGTTCTTTCTCTTGTCCATGTTCATTCACTGAAGCTACTAATCACTGATAGCGTGTAGCACGAATCTACGTTGTGTTAGAGTTAGAGAAATCAATCGATTCATAGATATACAAGAAATGCCAAATAATAAATCGTGCTGAGTTGTGTTTCTTAGCATGATGAAAAACGTCGTGATAATGAGAAGAAAGATGGCATAAACGGCTCTTCTTTTTTTAAGACTGTTCGAAGATTTATCTTTCTTCCAGCTTCAAATCGAAATGCGCAAGCTACTCAACTTATTTCCGTACGAGAAATACACGTGTTTGTATTATTGCTGGTTGATATCGTATGTCGAGATAGACAGCGGTAACGGTCATCATTGACTACTGACATCGATCATGAGTTAGAGAACTGTCTTCAGTCGATTTCAGTGATAATGACCTGGTATGGAAAACTACTGTACACATCATTCGAATGAATAAGTGGTCGTTTTCTCACATCTGTTAAACTGATCGAAATATTCGTCGGAGAAGGAAAAATGAAAACTCATTTATGAATGATAAGTAAAGAATTATTCTGCAAACCAATTTCAACGTAGGAATTCGGCTTGATTTTATTGAACGGAAAAGCCTTCGATAGCAATGTTGATGAGGGCACATTTTACAATGTTTCTTCTAATTTTGGAATTTCATTCAATTGTGCTTGTCGGCTGTTGATGGTCGATGTCGCTGATGGATTATTCACGGGAAAAAGAAGTGAAAGTCTTCGTTGTTCAGCTTGCGATGTTAGGAAACAGAACCTCGAACAATCGATTGAGTTAGAACCGAATGTCGCCATTCCTAAGCTTGTTCGCCATGTTCTTCTTCATCTCATCCTAATTCTTTATCATGTTGGATTTTCAGCCCGAGCAGTTTATCAATGATTTTTAAAAGTATAATCGTAATTAGAGCTGATCAGAGAACGGTGATGGCAACAGCCATCGATTGAACAGCAAGAAGATATGAACTATGATCCTCAAAAAATAGTCCATCTCGGCCGTCTGGATTAAAAGATTTTTGACCAAAAGATTCAATGGTAATCGATCCAACAACACCGGTGATTCTATCGTAGAATCAACCAGACAATTCCACTATCCACAGCAGATTGTTGTGTAGTAACAACAGTTGAGATAGCTAATGGACCGTTTTGAGGAGCACCATCAAGGGCGGTCAAGGTGTCATTCACCAATGACGTCATCACATTTCATAAGTTTTACAATCCATGTCGTCTGTCTCCCATACCATCGCCTATCGGCTAGATCCTATCTTTCAAGATCAATCCGAGTCCGGATATAAATGAGATAAGTGCACCCATGAGGACTAATGAGGAACGTTTTTTCTCACTCAAGGTGGAATCGACAACTCTTTTACGGGGGCACAGAAAAGTAGCAAATATATACACCTTATTGATCAGCATTACATTCCTATTTATACAAATTTGATATCTCATAATCCGAGCTGGAATGTGTATCCGATTTTGCCAGTAGTACCTATAGGATATTGATGTATCAATGGACGCATTGGTGCGCGGTATTCCCTGCAAATAAAAGGTAAAATTGAAACAGTATTTTCATGACTTTTGCAAGAAGTAGTAGAACAAATAACTCTCTGATTTTTTATTTTTCACTCGAATGAAAATTACTTACCTGTGTCACTTTACTGCCTATATGTGGTCAGATCTCAAAGCTATTCAAACCGATAATATTTTACTCGTGTGCAAGATTGTAACTTACTAAAACTGACCTTTTTGGTACATCGTCAGCTTTTGCTGCATGTGTTGAGTAATTACTACCAAAACATAAATCCTGCAAGAAACTCAACACTATGCTCATAGAAGAAAAAGAAATTTCCTTTCTACTGGCATGTTAGTGAACACAATTATTTGAAAATATAGCAAACAGCTATTTCTCTTATAGCGGTAGTTGATGACTGCGGTGCAACAGTTTTTCCGTGAAAGTATTGCTCTAGAAAAATTTCTTGCTTGTAATCTATAACTCACCATCAAAGCTTTTCTTATGCTTCCTTTTCAGGTTATGAGGTTCTTGCTCAAATAATGATTCTTGTTCTGACTAAGATACGGCGTCAGCAATATTTGATATCTGAATTACAATCCGTGGCCACAACACTTCTCTCTTGTTTTTGCGTCCTAAATCGGTGATATTTTCTAGAGATCCATTGACGTTCGAATTTGAATTCAACAGATCCTCTCTTTTCATGTAACAATCGCATACAGGAACGAAACTTGGATGCTACAGCAGAGATGTACGTTCTGGTCCATTTTGTGACTGATTCGTTTTTTGTAATGAAAGGTTTTAGTCATCAGTGTGGAGCTAGCACGAAGAAACTGTGTGTAAGCTAAAAACTTTTTTCCAGAGTTTGTCCGGTTCATAAAACCTAGTCCATTCGATTCAGAATTTAATTCTGCATCGAATGGTGGTATTTTTATTCACCGGACAAACTTTGGAAAAAA